AAATATGATACAAATGACGAGATATTTTCTATTAAAATAGACTTTTATCTGAAGGTAATGTCATACGAAAAGATTAATGATAAAAGGTCAGTTTTAAATACAAAATGTATTATTACCTATAAAATGTGGTGTTAGGCAATTACATAAATCAGATCGGATCGCCAATTCGCATAAGTTTTTAATGAAGAATATACCTAAGTATTAGAGATAGTAGCTTCTTCTATACATATTCTGATAGAAACTCCTGTAAAACCTTTTACGATTTTATTTTTTGACAAAGGTTTCGGTAACCAGTAAAAACCACTCACACAACATAATTTATCAAACAAATAGTCCCTTCCTTCCTTCCTTCTACCTGGCAATTTCCCGGCTTTAGCCAGTGTCTGCCTTACATGTTGTGAATAGTTTTGGCTAATAGTTTTTACGACCGGCCGCCTGCCTGACATCAACCCTCTTTGGGAATGCATTAATCAGTGGTGTCTAAATACTCTCCGAAAGTAGATATGACTCGGAAAAATCACATTGGTACTTGCCAGGATCGAACCCGCCCCCTCATGCATGAGAGGCGGACCTTTAACCACTAAGCCACCACTGACAAACAACTTACGCAACCAATAATATATAATTTATCAAACATAGTTCCTATATATAGTTGTTATGATTTTAGACAACCTGTATAATTAGCATAACTTGGCGTCGTAAATACTAACAAATAATTTCTTATTGAATTGCTAAAATTAAATAATGTACAGAAATTTATAATAGAAAAACTGTTAACGCTGCGTTTGCAGTTAAAAGATTTGCACTGAGATTAAGCTTACTAAATCCATTCTCTCCGCTGAAAGGGTTACGTATCTTTTATTTCTTAAGTAATTCTTATAGAGCCTTTAGCAGCTTCATTGAAGCACAGCTTATATTAAACAGTATTAATGTTGCAATCGTTGAAAATCCATTGATTTCTTATTAAATATATTCAACAGTAGCCATACTTTTTAATATAATTAATGCAGAGAAAAAAGTTAAGAATACTTTATTATTTTTATTTTTCTTAAATTATTTAATGTTTTAAGTTGTAAAAAATCAAATATTATGCTTAACAAAAACATTATATTTATATTCTACAAGAAATTAATTGAAATGAATTTACTTCAAAAATCTTCTATATATATAAAAATGGATTGCTGTTCCTTAGTCTCGCTAAAACTCGAGAACGGCTGAACCGATTTGGCTAATTTTAGTCTTGAAATACTTCTGGAAGTCCAGGGAAGGTATAAAAGGTGAGAAAAATTGGAATAATTGCCGGGAAAACTCTAAGAACAGCCCTTTTCTATTTCCCATACAAACGTTTCTTTTGACATTAGATTTGACAACTAACTAATATGTCAATCATTCTGTTTGATTGAAACAGGAAAAACCTGATGTTTTATGGCCTCTAAGACGGAATAGAGTTCGCCTGGTCAGCTATACCTACATATATAACTCTTGACCAAACTAACGCGGACGAAGTCGCGGGGAAAAACTAGTCTTCTATATATATAAAAATGGATTGCTGTTCCTTAGTCTCGCTAAAACTCGAGAACGGTTGAACCGATTTGGCTAATTTTAGTCTTGAAATACTCCTGGAAGTCCAGGAAAGGTTTAAAAGGTGAGAAAAATTGGAATAATTGCCGGAAAAACCCTAAAAACAGCTCTTTTCTATTTCAGATACAAACGTTTTTTTTGACATTAGATTTGACAACTAACTAATATGTCAATCATTCTGTTCGATTGAAACAGGAAAAACCTGATTATTATTTATGGCCTCTAAGACGGAATAGAGTTCGCCTGGTCAGCTATACCTACATATATTACTCTTGACCAAACTAACGCGGACGAAGTCGCGGGCAAAAACTAGTCTTCAATAAAAACAAAAGCTACGAAATAACTATTTCATAGAAGTGTTACTGAAAATTAGACAACAATTTCGTGTTACACTTTCCGTTGTTTATTTTTTAAGTTTGAAAAACTGTCACTGAAAAATTACTAACGGGAAAAAGCAAACACGTTGTTTGTTCATATTAAAACTGTAGGATGAATAATATTTTACCTTTTATATATGTTGTAAATATATAAAATAATTGTGTATATACGGTTTAGAACCGAAAATATTTGTCTATAAAATTTACAGAAAAATCTTTCATTTCAATTTCTTTATGTCATTTAGTTGTGATTCATTTTTGACAACTTAACGACAATAAAGATGACAGATTATCTTCTATATATATAAAAATGGATTGCTGTTCCTTAGTATCGCTAAAACTCGAGAACGGCTGAACCGATTTGGCTAATTTTAGTCTTGAAATACTCCTGGGAGTCCAGGGAAGGTTTAAAAGGTGAGAAAAATTGGAATAATTGCCGGGAAAATCCTAAAAACAGTCCTTTTCTATTTCCCATACAAACGTTTTTTTTTGACATTAGATTTGACAACTAACTAATATGTCAATCATTCTGTTTGATTGAAACAGGAAAAACCTGATTATTTATGGCCTCTAAGACGGAATAGAGTTCGCCTGGTCAGCTATACATATATTACTAATGACAAAACTAACGCGGAAGAAGTCGCGGGCAAAAACTAGTATTAAATACAAATTCAAAGGTTTTTTAATTCATTTCATCTGTAGTAAAGTAAATGGAAGTTGAAAGGTAACATATGATAAATCAACTTTTAATAACAGTTATAATAAGTGAATATAATAGTAAATTAATAATTATTCCTGACTCATGCTTTAAGAACCTTTTTTTTACATAAAAAATAAATGTAAATATTGAAACTTAAATTGTGAAAAACACGTTTATTAAAATCGAATTATTATCTTTAAAGAGATTCGAGATTTATTTTCGAAACTACCGAGTCACGTTTACAGCCTCTTCGTTTTTTCTCAAAGAAATTTATTTCCATAGATATTTTTAAACTTTTTATAGCGTCGTCAAACGCCATTTAGAGGTACAGTTTTTATATTTTTTTTGCATCCGTTCCTGCTTTCGTTTACCGGTGCCAGACTAAAATAACAGAAACCATTTTTAGACACGGAATGGAAATGGGAAAAACTGAAATGGATTTTTCATAACCAGCCTTCGATATTGTACAACTAACGCATTACTTCAAAGCAAAAATGAAATAAATATATCGGGTGCGAATTAGTATTGATGGCTTTTTTTGGTCACACGTTTGTATTTTCACAGTTTAGTTGGCATTTCGATGTTTTTTATCTGTTGGACATGTATTTTCTGCGGTATAGATGTTTTTTTTTTGCCATTTTGGTAGTAGAGAACTTAAAACGTAAATAAGTTTAAGACAAGGCACCAGTCATCGTGAAAAGTTGACAAAAGACGTTGACTTTTTGGAGACATTCAACGTCTTCTATTGGAATTGAAGACGTGTTCCCTATCAAGCGTAAAAGCAACAAGTGACTCCTTGATTCAGAATTAATTCAGTATATTGTTTCCATATCACACAGCCATTCAGATGAAGGCTAACAGATAATAAAAGATGACATGTCAATATTGTTCACATGAATATTATGTTATTGAAACGATTTTATAAAATTAATAGTCATCACATTCATTTGATATAATTTTACTTACTTGGTGCAAGTAAAAATATAAACTAATAAATAAAACTAATTGAAAAATATCAGAATTATATATTTAGAATTAAATAGTTTTTTTTTGTGGTAGCAACCCCATTACTTGGGATTGTCACTGTCAAGATATTTAAGTGAACGTCACTGTATCAAAAATTTAAAGATATGCAGATTACTTTTAGAAAGTGGGTAAACAAAATAGGATCCGACGGTCGAGGGACGAATAAATGATTAACTAGAGGCGTTCATAAACATATTTTAGACTTATGACAAGTACCCGTTTTGTATATTAAGAGAAATAAAGCTTCGTTTAACTTGAGTATAGAAATTATGAACTCTTAAAAAATTGCTATAAATTTTTTATACATTTGTTCGCATTTCCGTGAGAAAATTTCGAGATGCAAAGTATATTGGCTAGATAAGATTTTGCCAGAGCCTTACAGGTTGTAGAAGAATGATTGTAGTCCTCTTAAATAATCAATTTAATTCTTCTCACGTACTTGTATTATCTTAGTACGGAATTTTTACACATTTCATTTTAATCCGACGATACATTTTATTCTATTTATATAGACATTTTTCATGACGAAAACTTTTAAAATACATAAACCGAGCCGAATTAAAATATATATTTCCATAAAGTTCTGAATCGAATTTAACATTCATCAAAGAAGTTGATCACAGATTATAAAATGAATTATAATTGGAATTTGAGTTCAATAAATATTGTAAAGGCTTACGATATTTTTGGTAATTACAAAAATATGTGCATATATTTTGCTACATTTTATAGGATTAAATCTCAGCTTTAAATAATTAATATTCTACCGTTACCAAATGAAAATTATTATTAATTTTTTATAATGATATACTTTCATTTCAATTTCAATTTTTATATGGAACATAACATAACATTTGGTTCGCTTATTAAGGTGGCACTTCATTTGGTGTTCCGTATTCGCCGTATTTGTGCAAATATTTGTACCTACTCCAAATATCACAAACACGACATCCACACTTGGCATGCCAACAACACGTCTTTACCCGTTTCCGCTTATTTGTGTATGTGTCTTATTTGTGCAAATATGTCAAATGAAGACGAATAATCCTCCACACATGGTCTTATTTGAATATCGCTTAAACAAGTTTTGAGGCTATTAAATTATTAAAGGTATAGTTGTAAAATTCATTTATTAATAAAAAAATTATCACAATGAAAATCGCAACGCGACATATCACATGTATGACGTACGGTGACTACAGTCATTGTTTATTAATTCTGTCTCATTCTTCGTCAGAACGAGACGTATGGCCACTTAGTGTAAATAATTTGCATGATAACTATATGAGCTACATAATATTTAGGCTATTTGTTTATTAAACAATCTGTGGTGTCCTGTATACGTTGAGGAACGGCGCGTTCTCGCCTTCCTGAAGCCAGTTTTCTTCGGAATATTTGTTGTTATGCCTCTCTACCACATGGAAGGTGTAGGCGTGGCGACTTTTATCAGATTTATTGTGAGCACTCTTGTGTACGACCAGCCCGTGAATTAGGATGCAGGTACCTGGAGGAATAGAATAGTTGATTATGATTAAACTATATTGCAAGTGGAGGAAAAGAGTTTAATTAATGCTATCTTGGTAGGTTTTGTCTATATTTTAATGGAATACTTTCAGTTTTTTGAGATAATATTCAGTTTTAATTATCATACTAGTTTTTGATCGCGCTTTCGAGTGTGTTAGTTTCAGATTTATATGTGTATAGCTGACCGGGAGAAAACTCTTCCTTCGTAAAGACAGTAGATAAGATTTTGAATTTGATCAAATTATTATTTTCTTTTTTAAGCGGATGAAAGTATCCTATGTTCTAAGCTATCTCTCCACCATTTTTCAGCCGTTCCTAAGATATAAATAGTATAACTAACACGACATTCTTTTACATATACATAGTCACCTTTACTGACTGGCACGGGCGTGAAACTTGATTGAGGGTAGACAGGAGCTGGTCTGTCGTATTCTAGAGATACTTTCGATTCGTTATCGTATTTCCGAAGTAGTCTCCGGTGGACACCAGATTTGTGTGAGCCGCTGGCCATCCAGAGACAGCCGTTCTGTACTGTCGCGTCTTGAAGAGCTATCCAGAAACCCACAGCCGGTATTGGCTCACTGTGAAGGTATGTTGCATCTTGGTGGGCTACCACTGGAATAAAAAATATAAGAAATATTCTACAACTCAGTGGAAAATATGATTTGCAAACATAAATAGATCATCATTCACACATAGCTCGGAATGTAGGGGCAAGTTACAATCGTAATAATTGGCAAGTCGTGAACATTAACAATCTAATTTTTTTTTATTTTTTTATATAATAATGTTTACCAAAGAAAAAGATGTATATTTAATATATATTTCGCTTTCATAAGTATAGCAAAGTGACCTTACACAATGACGGTATAGGGAAGAAATTGAAATTGTTGTTATGGGTGGTAGAGCCTAGCTGTGGTCAAGTTACTGCAGCTCGAACATGTGCTGGCTCGACCAGGGAAGTATAATACCACCCTCTCAAAGAAGATCGGCGTGAAGTAGTCTTTAATGGCTGCATTTCGTCCGATGAGAGAGAGAGACGGTTGCCTTTTTAATTTCCCACCCTTTCTCTCTCTCTCAACACCAAGGTTGGCAACGTATCCACAACAACTCTTACATTGGAGATGTCTATGGGCGACGGTGACTAACTTTCATAAAGTAGGCCGTCTGCTGGTTTGCCATATTTGATATAAAAATATATATATATATATTTTCAACCTACTTGAAGGAGGTAGTACAATCGCCCATGGACATCTTCAACGTAGATTTGCGGATTTGTTGCCATCCTTGATTGGGAAGGCCGGGGAGGAAAAGGTGGGAAAGGGAGGGAAAAGGAAAGGGCTGGATGTTCGAGCTGTAGTAGCTTGACCACCTCAAAAATACATGATAATACATGCCTTCTCCTCCTAAACCTGGGTTCTTGTATATGTACATGCTCTGAACCACCGCCGGGTCTTGGAGGCCCAGTTCTTTGCATACAGTTTTCACTCTATCACTGTAGGTGTAGCATCTGAAGATTGGATGGAGAAGATGTAACGCGTGACCAACCTGCAATTAGCGTTTATTTATATTAACACTTAATCATTTATAATCTAGATACGAAAGAGTTGGTATCACAATTTATACCATTAAATGTTATACTTTTCGTTTATCTCCAAATATTACTAATTATTAAAAAATATAAAAGATAATAGATTACTAATACAATATTTGAACATTGTAACTTTTGTGACTAGTTTATGCTTGAGTTGTAAAACTAGGAATATAATGATTAATATTATATATTACTAAATAAGAAAGACTTAGTGCCGTACAAATTCTAACTATATATGATCATTAATCACCTTATTTAATGAAACATCTGGATCCACTTGAAGCTCTCCATCGGGACCGAAGGCATCGGCTTCATGGAAAAAACTGATTTTGTCGTTACTCTTCATGAAGTAGTCATCCTTTAGTTGCTGCAACGTATATTGCCTTTTAATAATTCTCAAAGGTCCAGCGGCCTCGTGAATATTCAAATCTGTCTTTTGAAACTCCGTTTCGCATCTTTTGTGTCTAATATATTCTAATGCAAACAATCTACATATATTTCACATAATTAAACTATTTTTTATTACTCTTATACATTTCTGATTGAGATCAAGAGGTTCATACATTATAATATGATCAGATTAGAGTATTACCATTTCTCATGTAACTAATAGTAATATATACTATAAAAAGAGAAAAAATTGATTGGAAATTAAGTGTGTTTTTTACGAAAAACAATTCAGTCATTAATAAAACTTTTCATTTTCACCGATACTTAATCTGAATAGAATAAATATATAACAGTCATGTCTAAAACCATTCCCTTTTAGGCAAAATATAAATAAATGGGGGGAATAATGCAAAAAAAATGTGCTAGAAAACGACTATTTTTCTGAAACAAACTTCAACGGAGAATAATATAAGAGTAATACATTTAAATAAATACAATTTATTTTAATATAAATATGAACGCCAGATTTTTGTTCCTATACATATTTTATTTGAATTAATTTTAAAGCTATCCAATAATCTGATTATGATGGATAAGCCGATTAAAATAAAATTTACCTGGTTATTTTCAGAATATAAGATGCTTATATTCAATAAAAAAATATATTAAAATTGAAGCTCAGCTTCGAGAAATATATTTTCCGATAGTCGAGGCTATTTATGTTTTTTTTAGAAAATGAATAATCTTTTCCTATGAAATAGGAACCTGAGATGAAACGGCTCAAGCGAAAGCCTTCAACATTTTTATCCTTCATTAATTATAAATACTATGAATATTGAGAGAGACGCAATAAAAATATCATCTTACTGAAAATTTTAAGAAAAATATAATTCCTTATTTCACATCCCGTCTTTATGATCACGGTTGCTAAAAAGTAATCGAAACGTCCTGAGTGAATAGTTTTTTTACCAAAGTAAAGCACTCGTAGTATAAACGAAAAATATTTGTTTCATTTATCCTTATTTCATATTATATATATTTAATATAAGTGTTATGTATTAGCTTTGATATTTGAGTCTCGTTATACGATAGCTCAATACCATATAAAATTACTGTTTAAAACATAATCATGTTAATGCAAATAAATATATAGTTATCAAGAAGATGTGTATTACCTGTTTGTTATTTTCGGTGGTTGAGAATATAGCTTTGTGTGATGTATCCTGAGACTGTTTAGTCATCTCTATACCAGCAGCCACGAGCTCGTCACATTCTGCTGGTCGGAGGAAGTCTTCAAGTACCACGTAACCATCACGATCTAACTGGAAAGTAATAAACATTTCTTTGAGCTTGCCATCTTAATTTGAAAATAATTGTACATTTAATTTGTCGATTTGTACGCGGTAGAAGTGGGAGAGAGAGGTATAACGGCTAAATCCCTTTACACCCTACTTAAAGATATGGGCTTGTCCAGAATTAATATCAATTCATTCTTGGAACGTACATCGAAGGTAGCCCTGGTAGGTTCTTTTCAAATTGGGTTAGATAGAGTGAGGAGCTTGGACAGTGTAGGTCAGCGTATAACGCGCGTTAGATAGGGATCCCTTAAACCTACACCTTGGTCACAAGTCCCAGGCACTGTTGAAGCTCCTTTCGCTGCAACGATGGAGCTGGCACTCGCACGGTGAATACATTAAATGCTAAGAGTTTTCAACGAAAATAAACATATTATTCAGCTTCTAAATTGAAGATATTTAGGCAAAGCATTAATAATGGTATCGCTGTCTGCTGAGTTACAGAGCCATTTGAAGTAATAATAAAGACTGCGCACACATAATACACTATGAGCTTGTAAATGAATAACAAACGAACGTGTAATATTTGGTTGTTCCAATTGTATACGCTTAAAATTTATATTTCACACAAATCCCTCACAACGACCATATCATCTATTAATAGTAAAAAATTAAAAGCTGGCACGTTGTTTACCTGTTATAATAATAAAGTTTGTGTTTAATGTGACAAATGAAAATAAAATAGATCTAGCTGAATTAGGCTGCAGAAAATTAGAGTTACCTACTTGGTTATCAGAATAAAGAGAAGAGTCATGTATTGTCTTGTTGCCACCGTATTCGCTCCCACGTGGAGTCTATATTTGTGGAAGTGTCTTTATTTAGAACATTATATCAACCCTGAGCGTCGAGGAGGCCGTCAATGCTACTAACTATTCCATTTTTTAAGTATCTATGCGTCGTTTTATTTGGTATAGAATTGTGATCTTTTAGAAATATTTACGAGAAAAGAATAATTAATACTGCCTAATTTTTTAATAGTACGAATTCATATCTTGTATGTTAGATTTTTACGGTTATTTTGTATCTTATATATAAATATATATTTATGTAAGATACAATTTAGATTTTTTTTAAAACTTTACTATTTCTTGCAATCAAATTATGTTGTCCATTTCCTTCTAGATAGGAAGCGAGTTGCAAATACTATTAGCTGGTGGTTTAAGAATATCTCGCCAGTGGAAATCCCAGAAGAATTTTATAACTAAATTACAGGCTGTCTTAGAATATAAAAAGTTTTAATATTTAACGTAACCTGACTTAAAACTTATCATAGTTCTAAATATCATTGGTATTTTAGTATATATGTATCTATATTGTATATATTTAATAGTTTTTTTGTTCGTTCATGGTTGAATAACCTTTCAACTTGATAACAAAGCTCTTATCAAGTTTAAAGATTGTGGTATTATGTTATTTTATATATCTTTATTTCATTTAACATAATATTTTGACAGCCCGACAGAACTGTTACAAAAATTTACAATAATTTTGTAAAGACATTTTGATTAATCTAATAATTATTTTTCTTGGAAGGATGTAAAATATGCTGTAAAATATTTCGGGAGTCATTCTGATATTTTTGATCTGATGACTCCACAAACGAGGTGTCAGAAGTCTAGAACATTCGGTGTGTATTTTGGAATATATTTATAGATATTATCTTCAAAACACGTAATATTACTGTGTTTCTTTCTCTTTATTTTAGTACGTTTTGTAAAAAAATTACTTTATAATAAGCAAGCCCATCAAACAAGTATGTTAATGTGTTAATTGATTTTGTTAAAATGATAAAAAATAGAACGCCATTGGAAAATTTAATGACACAAACAATCGCATGGAACTGTTCAAGTTATAGGTATACATTTACATATATATGTGTATATTTATATATATCGGCGCTATCAGCTTTAATAACATATGCGACAAGAAAATAATTTAAGCCTCTCATCAATTCTTATAAAAACTTATTAGTATTCATGATTATTATTAAAATTAAAACGAAATTAAAGACTGTTTAAAAGGAGAATATAACTGTTTGAATTTTGGTATAAATATGACGTCTGGACGCACGACAGCAGAGTCTATTGAGTGCAGACCATATTAATAGAAGATTGTGATTATGAAGAACCTTCGAGAAATACAAGAACATTTAGAAGAATTGATGTTTCATTTTAAAATATTATGGAACTCTTTAAAACAAAGAATTTGTAATAAATCCGATATATATATAAATCTATTCCAGATGTCTTATTCTTTAGATTTCCTTCGCTATGCTTTTAATATACATATGTAATCAATATTATATCTACCTGTTTTCGAATTGTTGTACACATTTTGTAACTAATAAAACGACTTCTTCCAAACACAATCGACACTCAACTGACTTTACAAGTTTACAACCTGACTATATACATATTTTAATTCTGTTTAGTTGAAACATTATATAAATATTTGTCAACCAACGCCCGCTGCATACCGCGACGGTGAGTGTGAATTCGTTTTGGGCAAGCGTTGGATGTGAAGTCACAAGATAATATCGGCACTTGCGTGTGCGCTAGTCGATGACGCGGCACGGGAGCGTTCCGCACCATCTGTGGACGAATCGCCAGAAAGGCCCCATTGCGATATCGACTCTGTTACGTGTGAATAGAATAGAAAATCGTAAAATGGATTTCAAAGCAAATATGGACGTGAGTAATCGTTAGAAATGTTTCTATGATGTACTGCACATGTTTTGATTCATATTTTTCTTCACATCCAGACTTTTTACACTACCAATATTGGAAAAAAAAATCAGCTGTCCAAAAATCTAATATTTTGAAATTTGTTATTTATGAATTGTTGGAAATATGCTAACATTTATAGCTTGCATTGATCGGTAAAAGTTCGCAGACTTTTACGAGTTTCCAAAAATATACAGTGAATATTTTTTTCGAGAAATTCAAAGTCATGCTGGTAGTGATTCAGTTTAAACATTTTGTTGCTTGATAGTTGATCTTATTTGAATGCTGACGAGTACTGATGGTATGAGTGTCATAGTTCATGAATGTCACTCATTCCAGTGACATTCAGTAGTAACTTTGCTGTTTTGGCATAGATTAATATTTAATCCCCACCTCTTTTTCAGGACGACTTACTATTTTCAGTATAATGAACATTAAGGAGCATTTTGATTAAGTAATTTATTTATAGGTCATTTCAGTTTAGTATTAAAAAGGTTTGTCCAAATTTTCTGAAAGACTTTATTTTTCATTAATTACTCGCTTTTCATTAATTACTGAATGACTTTTTGGACAAAATTACGAAATTCCAAATAGTATATAATGATTTGATAGTTGTTGGAAATATTTCGATATGTTCATCCACCACGCAAAATATTTTAGTCACTGTTTTAATATAATTACGATGAATAATATGTATTATAAAAATATGTAACATTAAGGTAATTAGTTATTTATTGGACTATTTTAAACTATATAAGAACATGCTAAGTACTTATATAGTTCAAAATAGTCCATATTTTGAGTGGGAGTGTTGTAAATATCAAAATATGGATACAACTAGCGTCATCTTGTGGCAATCATGTCAATAAGCCTCATTGTCTTCGTCTATGTTCAATAAATCATTCCTCTGTCGATCTCCAGTTGACACAAGTTGTTTTATTACAGTATAAGATATATGTACACTTTATTCTGGTTAGGTCACAGAGAAGAATTAGTTTTCGTTCGTGGTAGAAAATGACTGAAATTCGAAAACTTCTTAGATCAATTACGTGGAATGACAGTCGATATTAAATCTTTACATATAAAAGAAAGTGTTCTTAGTTATACCATTTATAACTCAAGAACGGCTATATGGATATGGTTGAAAGTTGGTGGAGAGATAGATTAGAACCAGGAGACGACATAGGATTATTAATTCTGTTCAATCTAAAAAGAAAATTTAATATCAGGTTATTTACAGCCTCTAGAGAGGTAAAGAGTTCGTCCGGTCAGCTATACATATATTACTAATTCCAAAATTAACACGGACGAAGTCGCGGGCAAATACTAGTAATACATAAAATAATTATGGCAAATTATTTAGATTATTCCAATAAGTAAGACAGATTTTCTTCTAATGACATATCATATACTTAAAAAACCAATTTAAAACTTCCTCGTTCCAAGAATTTGAGTTTCTAACTATTATTTTATTCTAACAATAATCTATGTTGTTGGAGGTCTTAATAAAAGTAATCTTTATGTTATTATAAGATCCAGATAAATCTTTTATTGAAAAATGAAAGCAGCATCTCCGTTAATATTAAAAAGGAATATTGTGAAGCAGCGCTGAAAAGATATAATCTTGAGTGCATTTTGAAAATATCTTCGATTTAATTTATCAAGTCCTTCTACTTCGCGTGGCTGATTCCTTCTTTATATAATATAATATATATAATTATTTGCACTACTTTTAGCTTATGTGCCCGGCTTTGTTTGATACTTGTGATGTAACACAAATCTTATAGAGCTTTAAATGGAAAATCTGTAAAGATATATGCTTGCTAATCGTGTTGAAACTCCACTCGTTGAATGTGACTTTAAGATATAATGGTCAGTTAAATCTTATTAGAATACATACACATAAATATCTTAGTATCTGACATAACATAAAACATTTTTCTTGGTAAAATTTGTATTATGCTTCCAAAGACGACCCAGGACCGTTACAAGAGTTTGTCTCGCTTGGCCGCTAGATGTCGCCATTTGTAGTTATGCTTATAGATTACCCTTCCTATCTGTTTTAGTCCTATCTCTTATCTAGCTTTTACTGACATACCACGTGGAATTTGGAAGATATTCCCGGGACTTGGGACGTTTTTGGAAGTCCTTAATAAGAAAATGTTTTTAATTCCTGGAGGCTTTGTTTTTTTTATATATATGTATATATAACAATGCAACAATGTCAATGAAAATATGTAGTAAAGTTATGACTTAAAGAGGCTATATTTAGATATATATATATATTCTGATCTGTGAGTGGAGGTCTGTGAATGAAGTAAAGCGAGAATTAGTTGATTACTTTATACATTACGGAAAATCTATTAATAAATTAATATCTCATTATGCATACATTAGCTAAAGAAAAATAATAAGTACCTATAATAAATAAAATATTATTATATTATAGTTATTATTACTTGAAACTTACCTCCATGGGTGTTAGAAAACTAATTATTCTCAAATCGATATGGTATGCATAAAACGTGAAGTCGATTTTTATAAAAAAAATATATCAATATTTTCTTTAATAAATGAATAATAAATTTATTTTAAATCTTGCATAAAATAAAACTAAAACAAGAAAATTTAATCCAATTAAAGATAATCGTTATTGAAGATTTTCTTTAACGAAGATAATCTTTAGTTGGCTTAAGACGAAGTCAAGGAGAGGAAAGCATTTCTTAGAAACGTTATGAAGAAATATTTTATTATTTAAACGTGATTTAAGTTTTAAAATAAATGGGTTCTTTACATATTTTTGCCTACAGCATTTGTCTTAGTCCTTGTCAGTTTTCCTCAAGACGTTTCCACCTTCTCCAAATCATTCTGGTACCATGTCTAACACTGAAAGGCCAATCATACTTGTGGTGTCTGCGATATAAGTTTTTTGGTGTATATATTTTTGCCATAGTTTCAGACATCGGACACTACAGCTAGCTGAATGATTTTGAATTCTTGACCAGCCCTACGGAGTGTCCAGTTTGGGACTCCATGAGTTAAACTGGTGGAACGTAGTTAAAACTATTGGTAAGGAGAGTTTATAAGAGTAATGACTTAATATTAAACCTATTCGAATGATTGTATGGCTGGAAATAACCGATTTCTTTTTATACATAATTAATAAAGTACATAGGTATACTTATCTTAAAATATTTCAAAATACTCTTAGTTCATAATGTTCAAGTTAAGAATAAGGTGGAAACGGTTAAAAGTTATCCAATTTGAAAAACAGTTAAATTGTTAACAGCCTATCGATTTTCCTAGTAACAAACAAGTCTTGATTACGAACAACAAGCTGATTGAATTTCATAAAACATTATTTATATATAGATATAATTATAATTTATAATTAATTTAGTAGATAATAATATCCGCATTGAAATTAAAATTAATTAAAATGTATATATGCTGCTAAAGCCGTTTAGTTTTAATAATAAAATATATTTATTAAAAGTCAGTGGTGGCCTAGTGGTTAAAGGGCCCGCCTCTCGTGCACGAGGGCACGGGTTCGATCCTGGCAAGTACCAATGTGATTTTTTTCGAGTCATATGTACTTTCTAAGAATATTTAGACACCACTGACAGACGGTGAAGGAAGACATCGTGAGCAAACCTGGACTTATAATTTCACAATTATAAGTTTGAAATTACCAACCCGTCTTGAGCAAGCGTGGTGATCAATCCTCAAACCTTCTACATGTGAGAAGTGGCCTTTGCTTAGCAGTGGGCTCCGATAGGCTGACGACGATTAAATGTGCTTTTATTTTTAAATTTAAGTATATAAATAAATCTCTAATGAATGCTAGATTAAAATAATGTACGTACATATTCAATTACCTGCGATAATGGCACTTATTTATAAATAAATTTATTCTATATATTTATATTTTTCTAAAAGTACATTAACATGAAATTGCTTGTTGCAAAGCCATGTTTAATATTGAAATGTTACCTATATAAATATCACTTAGTATGACTATTTAGTCTACACCTCACTGACATGATAAAATCGAGATGATTTTAAAATGTACGTAAAACCCGAAAAAAATAACGAAAGAAAAATATGAGACGAAACATAACTAAGTTTTTGATTTATTAAACCATATTACTTGCTATCGTACAGTTTAACCGCGATTTCTATCATTAGGAGTAACTATTACTGACATATGTATAAGTATATCGGATTTATTACAAATTTATTGTTTTTAAAGAGAGGGACGCCAACCTCGCTGACGTTACAAATGTCACTTCTTCTAGAAGGGTCCATGATATTTTAAAATGAAACTTTAATTGATCTTAATGCTCCTGTATTTCTCAAAGATTTTTCATAATAACATACTTCAATGATACACACTCACTGAACTTTGAATTATCAATTCTGTAGTCTCAATTCTGCCGTCGTGCATCCAGACGTCATATTTATAACAAGATTCAAACATAGTTCTATTTTCCTTTGTTTTCGTTTTACTTTTAACAATAATCGTAAATACTAATGAGGTTTAATAAGAATTGATGACAGCCTCAAATTATTTTCAAGTCGCATCCGTTATTAAAGCTGGTAGCGCCGATATATAGTATAATTACTTAAAGTTATTACTTTTGTATACCTTATTAAGTAAAATCCATATATCCTCTGTTATATTCTCAGCTAGATGTGTTTGTAAGTGCAAAGTCAGAGATAACTTGCGCTCTGTCAGTGGGTAAATGTATTCGACAATTTCCAACAGTATTTGTAAAACAGTTTGTTTCAAGTCAAGCTCAATGTTATTTTAGTGTTGTAATTAGTATTATATTTAATTTATTTTGTGTTTAATGTATATAAAGTTATTTATAATTTATAGTTCATAATAATGAATATTGCTTTTATATTTTGGGGTCCAACTTTGGATACTGTTGATTTTTTATGATATATAGGAAAATGATTACGACTTAGTCTGAGATATATATGAACAGTTAGAAAATGATTTATTTTCAATATAAGTCTGACAGTTCAGTTTGAAATAATCGTAAATAGACCAAAAAGAGTTCAAAATAGACGCTAACTGTACAACATGTCTACTCCATAAATATAAGTTGCAAATACATAATTCTTTTTTACATAAAAACAAAATCATTGCAGTTTCAAGCTTATTCCTTTTTTCTGCACCGACGACTTGAACGACGACAATTTTTATCAAGGATGCAGCCATTTGAAAAAGCGCTTGCAATTTAGATTTTTGTTACGATACCTAATTTTTTCTTTGGTATATTATATGTTTAATAATTTATTAACAAATATACATTATTTTCGTTTAAAGATAGCTACTCCGTATAGAAAAATTAGATTTTGTGACACCACGTTAAACATGACCCAAGTTTTTCGCACCTCTTTTGGAATATTCTATTTAATGTCAACTAAAAACACATTTCATTGCTAAATTGAGGAGGAAAAGTTTCCTCCTACAAATGATAAAATAATTAAGAAATAAGGACTAAGCATGATCTGATCTGAGAAAAAAGCATTCGGTCTGAAGTCGCAAGTGTTTTTTATCTAACACTTTTCAGAGGAACAATAAATTTAGGCTTAAATAATGTAAATATATACGAGTTTTCGCCCGCGACTCCGTTCATGTGCACGTCCTAGTTGCGCTCAAAGAGAAATGTATAAAGAGTGTTAAAACAAACATATAGAAACCTATGTGACAGCCTTTTAACTTTTAATAACCTAGATATCGATTGCAGCTCCATCTTCTGGGGTGGTTTGTGAATATCAACAATCTAGGGAACCTCCTAAATGCACCCAAAAATCATTGAAATCCGTCAAGCCGTTTAGAACTTCAATAACAAACACATGTTCAGTAGGGTTATATGTATATAAAAATAGTTAAATCTTATCAGAGATTTATCTCAAAATTTGATTTTGTCAGGCGGTAATAAAAGATAATGTGCTGCCAAGCTGTCGCTTGAAATACGGCAGTAATTTTAAAGATTAAAGAATAATGAGAACTCAAAGAATAATATAATTAATGTACAGATAACGCCATCTATCGTCAGTCAAGTGACTTCATAACAATTACTTCTGTTATGGCGTTTTCCCCCGGGAACTACACGGAATGCAGGGGTTAATTGAAGCCTACATATTGTTCTGGTGTATAAGCTTTATTAAAATAAAGTTTATTTTTAAATCATGAGTAATTATTAAGTGAAAAAAGAAACAAAAATTTAAAGAAAAATACATGTAAGATTAAAAATAAGAAACAATACATTTATAGAAATTAATCATTGACCATTCAATTTCAAATTGTATAGCCGTTTGTTTTGTCAATTTGCGAAATGCTTGTACGATACGTCGAAAGGCAATATCATATTAAAATCGTGTATTAGCATAATTAAATGGAATATGTTCGCTTATTGAACAACATTTGTCAATTTTATCGAAATTGAATTTCAATGATATTCATATATTTATGTATTATACCTTAAAACGATAGTCAATTAATACATAAAAGACCCGACTAAAAGTATTTAAGGCACAAGATGGTCAACAATTGAAGTACAGGTATGAAAACAATGATTAGTGTACAATGTACATCTTGGTTTAATCACGGTTTAAACAAGCATTTAATAGTTGTCCTAGTTAAACAAAAATCGCCTTCAAATCTATATACATAATACTGTAAGACAATCTATAATAATATAGTTATATTAATGGTATATAAAATAATAGCAAATTGTAGATACGCCTTTGTCCCGCTCGTATCAACTCGGATCAAATTTAATCCTTAACAATTTAAGTGGGTCAGGTTAGGGATGAAATGTTACATACAGTTTGAGATAAATTTATAAAGACTTGTTTAATATATTAAAGGTATATAAGAGAAAAGGCTATAATTATAATAAAATAATAGCGAACCTATGTCTTATAATGAGGAAAAATTTTTCGTTTTAATGGTATATTTCAAAACCGCCGCATATATTATGCTAATACTCATCCTAACAATGTGAAAAAGTATATATTCAGTGAATTTATTCGGTTGTGTTAGTATAAGATGGTTACTTGTTGATTTCCTCTTAAAGTGTAATGCGCCAGGAAGGCACAAAGGGAACGCGCGGCGCATACTATATCCTGGGTAATAGGGGAGGCTGGCGGGGACAGCCGGGTCGGCTTCATTCCCCTTGCGATCTTCCTCCTGAACGCACGCCACCAACCAGTAGCCGCTGACGCAAAGTTGTCGCGCAAAGTCCGCGATGCCGCCGCTGTCGTTTTACAAATAATATTAAATTCTGAACAAAATGTCGTCCACCGAGCCGGTGAAGATGTCTCTAGTTGTAAAATTAAATCGCTTCAAGGTACTACGATGCCGAAGCGAAAAATTCGTCCGCCTGGAGTTTCGAGGTAAGTTTTTATTGTTTATTATCTTAATCTAGCGCTGATTGAAGACGTGACACCAGGTTTCAGTATGCGAGAAGAATATTTTTTCTAAGGCCAGATGACGCTGCCGTCGGAGGAGAATTTAAAATAAGATTTAGTTTAAATTTTTAGCTCGTAAGTTATTTTGCTTATGCGAATACTTGAATATTACGGTTTAAATATTAAAAGTATACATACGAATTTTTTTTTGCCTGGGAAAGGAAGCGGTTAAGAAAAAAAAATTCCCACCCGTAGGAAAACGGAACGAAACAAAAATTTGAGAATTTGATAAATTTCGGTATATAATATATCACGAATATATTGTTTTCTTAAAAATAAATATCCTTTAAAGTTTTTAATTAGAAAATAGAGAAATTCTCTTAATATTTAGGTATTGTTAGAGATTTTTTTATATTTTTATCGTGGCTACTTGCCCCGCCTAATTACAAAAAAGAGAAAAAAAAAATATTTTAGAAAGTTAATGGCCTTTGTTTAAGCCTTAAATGAAAAGAAATATTCTCATTGGAATGTTCAACGTCACGGTCCCAGCAACATTAATACATTTTAATGGTTTTTGAGATGGAAACGAAAACGTTAAAACAAAGGAGTCCCTTGGAACAAACGCTGATCTTTTTCTTCTAATACATTGGAAACATTGGCTGTAATTTTTCCTTTCTTTATCTAAGAGGATGTAACATTATCACAGTTTCTGGTGGTAACTCCTCGTATATATATAGAAATCTCTCGATGGAGGGCGGGACAGTCAGCATGTTTTATTCATGAAGAAAACGATATTTCCAGCATCATGTTTAACTTGTACATGATTTTTTTACTATATTTTCGTTCTCCGATCAAACTTTCTTTAAAATTGACGACACCGTAAAACGGATTATTTATATAACCGAAACAAAGTAAATTATCAAAGAAAAAATAACAATATTGCTTTCTGAAAAGATAAATTAAAATATGATGGGCTTTTGATTTGAGATAATCTTTTTGCTGTTTCGAAAAAGCTATTTAAATACGAGAAACTTCTGTAATAGGCGGGATCGGATGAAAGAGGATTATAATTACTAATTTTTCTAAGTACCTCTCTTCAATATTCAAGCATACTCAGTTTTCTAATTTTATTTTGAAACTAATTGCCGCTGCTCAACTTAGTTTGCATAATTTTCTATGTCGCTAGTGTGTCATACGATCGACATACTTAATTAGTAATATAATTGTATTACTTCACACTGTCCTTGCACAGCTTATTTTAGTTTTAGGTAATAACATAAGCAATGTGTTTATCGAAAATTTTATAATGTTTTATATGCCTTTCTAAGATTCTAACGTACGGCGACCATGGGTTAAAATATCATAAAGGGTTAAACTTTTCTTTTCCGAATTTTATTATTATTATTAAATAATACGAATATTCAGTCCGGTAGTGGATTGTTAAACAATTCTTTATTCAATCCTGAGCAATCACTAAAACACTGTGATAAGGGTAACAAAAAAATTATTGGGGTTTATGAAACTAAATTCCATTGTGATATGTAATTATGTACATAGGCACATATGCTCTTTGGTCTGGAATTCTTAATAAGCTTATAACATAAACAAAAGGTTTCTCCTTTGTTATAAAAAGCTTCAAGTTATGAATCACACAAATTACACACATACGCAGATTCAAAGATACAAAGACACTCAGATACACAGACAAACACACACACACACACAGACACACACACACACAAACACACACACACACACACACACACACACACACATACACAGACACACTCACACACAGACACACACACACAGACACACACACACACACAAACACACACACATAGACACACAAACACACAGACACACGGTACACACACACACACACACACACACACACACACAGCCCTACAGATACACAGACACATAGGCACATAGGCACATAGACACACATACATACAGATACACAGACACACACAGACAAACACATAGACACACAGAGACACACAGATACAGACAATTACAGGTACATGTAAAGGAACAGGCACAGACGTAGAAGATATCTAGAGTATATATTAATTCTACATTTAAGTCTACGAGTATACACAGCCGTCTTTGTAAGCCCTTTTTGTCCAAGATCCCAAGAGTGCCAGACCTTACTTATTTTCTGATTGACAAAACCTTTAAAATGGGTTAGTATTAGCGTCAACAGTATACCGAAGGCCAATTCTCAGGTACCAGGTGCTACAGTTAAGTAAAAATTGTACCCACCGTACTTTGTTTGAGGTCCGATTTTTACGTATGATGCAGGAAATATTTTAAACAATTTCATATGAATACGGCGACACACATTCTGTTGTCTTAATTTCTTGCCAGACACATTAATTATCGACTCTAAAAGATTTAAACCTTCTTATGAGCTTATAAAATCCGTATAGAATTTTATTTTCTATAATTTTTTTTTTTTTTTTTTTTTTTTTTTTTTTTTATGTTATAAGTGGCAAACGAACAGACGGCCCACTTGATGGAAGGTGGTTACCGTCGCCCATGGACATCCGCAACAGATATGTTGCGGATGCGTTGCCAACCTTTTCTTTTTAGGGATAGGGAAGGGTGGGAATAAGGAAATACAAGGAAAGGTTGGGAAAAGGGAAAGGGCAACCGGCTCTCTCACTCATCGGACGAAACGCAGTCGTTACTGACTACTTCACGCCGATCTTCTGTGAGAGGGTGGTACTTCCCCGGTCGAGCCAGCCCATGTTCGAGCTGTAGTAACTTAACCACAGCTAGGCTCTACCACCTAAAAAATTTAATCACATTTCTGCACTCTTTTGAAAAACTAGATGATAATAAATCATTTAGTTGTTATTAAAAGCTTTCATTGGAAAAATAACGACATAATTTTAATGGAACGGTTTTCAAAAGGCACTATGGATGGATGGATGATGGATTTGAATAATAATTAAAAGTTGAGCAGCAGCAGTAGTCTAGCATTCACCTGTTGAGTAAACCAGTTAGTCTCACTTGGATACATTTATATTAAGTTAAACTCTAAGAGAAACTTCTTTATAACTATACCTTGAAAGCAAATTAAGGATGTATCTCACAAACCTGCTATTGTAAAGGAAGCAATAACAAAGGTTAATGAGATGTTGTACAAAGAGAAAATACAGAAATCGTTTATAATATTATATTATGCTTAAGTTAATTTTATAATTCTAAGCTTTGTAACGCAAAGGTTCTTTATGTTTCAAAGCTTTGCGTGTATAACGTTTCTTTAACATAGTAATGATAGTTCCTTGGAGTTTTATTTATAGAAACTAACGTTGCTTCATGTTCGGTTCTTGTTCTAATAAATAGTTTTATATAAAGGGAAAATGTCACAGTTCCTAATGGAGCTTATCCATATCTTATCGAACACTTGAACGCAACAGAGAAACGTACTACATCTCCTCAAATAACGTACTTTGAAGCTGGCTAATGACATTGCTATCGCCTAAAATCGTCGTTTTCGTATTATCAGAATATTTGACCAATCCGTGATAATTTCGACCCAATCAGAACAATTTCAGAGGGAAGACTAAAGGTTCAAAGTTTTTTAGTCGATTATAATTATTAAAACAACTTTGTCTATGTTGCGTACGTCCATGGGCGTTGCCAACCTTAGTTATTGGGGAAATGGTAGGAAAGGGTGGGAACAGGGAAAGGGCAAACGGCTCTTTCACTCATCGGATGAATCACAGTCATTAATGGCTACTTCACGCCAATCTTCTGTGGGAGGGTGGTACTTGCCTGGTCCAGCCAGCACATGTTCGAGCTGTAGTAACTTAACCACAGCTAGGCTTTATCACCTGTCTTACAAAAAAAAATATTTTTTTCCCATAAACTACTAAGAAAATATTCCTCTTCATCTTAACTTGAAATGCTCTGCCAAGTTCATACCGTAAAAAAACTCCCATGATTATACATGATCTTTTTAGTAATACCCAAGACTGTTTTTATAGGACATATTCGGATATGTTGTGATACTAATTTAATATTATAATAGTTTCTGATCAGAATTAACCAGCTTTCTCATTCGGTCATGACTGGTGACTATCCTCTCTGTTAGATAACTGACATTTTAATCGCTCTCATTCTAAGACTTTCAATAGTATTATTTGTTCCATTTCTTCTTAAAATTCAGAGATCCTCAAACAATCATGTCAATAACTCAAGGATAAATTCCGTCTTTTTCCTAAAAAAATATTTAAAACCACCAGATACTTGTTTCATGCATAATCGATCTTTTAAAATCTGCTTGAAAATGGTCCTAAAGAAATATTTTTCCGAGCGACTGCTTATTGGCAAAATTAAATAAAAACAAAAGTTAAAATTTTTAAGTCTTAAATGCTGTTAGCACCATAGAATTTCTGTTATTTTAGTTTGATATTTGTCTCTCGTCTGAATGACCATTTGACAGAATTGGCTTTGTATCTATCAATTGTTTGAAATTCAGATTTAAACAACGTTTCACCGATATATTCAAAGTCAAAACGACGGTCAGCTTTGAGTGGAAATGAAAAACTACATTTATTTTTGTTTTGTGTACTTATAGTGAAGTAATGGGAATTTAATATTCATTTAATATTTTATTTCTGTTTCGTGCATATTTTAAAATATATTTATGTTATGAATTAGTGACATAAAAAGCGAATCAAGAGTATAAGAATACATATTTTTATAAAAAAAAAGTTTGAACGTTTAAAATTAAGAAATATAAGAGTTTTTCTCGTCTTTGGTTGAATAAAGATTATCAAATTCAAATAATTTTCGCTGTCTTTTATAAACACAAATAATTTAAGCGTCCTTTTCCTATCTACACCAATTACACATGTCGTTTTACGCTATGCTAAAAAATATACGATGCTATATTCTAGATTTATGACCCTGATTTTTATGTAGAGAAAAACGGAATTAAAGGGACTCAAGGGAAATAGCTTTAAATT